TTTTTTTTTTTGTTATTTTACCATTTTCAACTAGCTTACGGCCTAATTTTTCTCAAATGTAATTAATTCATCAACTAGTTCTCGACAAACCTGAATCATCGTTCATACCATTTGCGTTATATTGATAAAACCAACTACTAACATCAACCGTTAAAGTTTTTTATTCCAACTAGTAATAATTTTGGTAAGTACAAAACACGAAAACAAGATCACAAATATGATATTTGTTTCGTAACATTGTTGTAACATGTTTGTAATTGTCACGACATGTTCGTAAAAAGATTACTTGACTTGAAAACTCTATATCAACAATTCAAAATTTGATAGAAAAAACAAGTGGTCGTCCTAAGATTAATCGGTTTACATAATGGGTTAGATATACAGGTTAATAAAAAAAAGACTTTTTTCTTTACGTACCAATATGTTCAATTTCCATGCATTGAAGTTGAAATTATTTGGTCATCTACCTCTTCATGAATATTGTCGTCTTGAGGAAGAAAAAAGTATACTTATCACGTCCATGCATGGTTGATTATAGTTAAGTATTTTCCTAAAGTTCAGTAATTATCTTAATTATATTTTAGAATCTTTATATTTAAAATGAGACGTTTATCCCGTAGTTAATTATATATATATATATATATATATATACACTAGCAATATACCCGTGCAATGCACAGAATAAGCAGACTTGGAAGTTATTTTAAATGGAAAATGAAAAGCTCTTGGAGGTCTACAATAGATTCTCTAAAATTAAGAAAATAGAGATTTTGAATCATTTTTATGCTCCAACAGATTTCCTAAAACAATCTCTAAAATGGAGAAAATAGGAAAAGAATAATATTTTTTTTTTCCAAATATGAACACCACAAAAATGATTATCATGTGAGAGAAATATTTTTTTAATATATCCCACCATTAGAAAACTTTAAAAATAAATATTTAGAGAGATAAATAATATTCTAATAGATAAATGAAATATTTTAAAATTATAATCAATATTGGATTCTACAAAATACGGAAGCTGTGGAGATAAATATAAATTTTTTTAGAGACTTTAATTTTTGTTTCCATTTTGGGAATCTGTCGGAGATGMTCTTAGTCGTGTTGCTCAGTTGACAAAGAAATGTAATGACTTTGTTTAAATACACAACTGTTTAAAGTTAAAATCCCGTTGGAAATAGGCTCGAGTCCTTCTGCTAAAAATACATTATTCTTTTTGGAATATTTTATGTTAAAAATTAACTATTTACTCGTTTCTCTTCATTACAAACAAAAAGATTATGTTGATTTTTGGTCCATAATATTACTATATATAATCTGAGTTACAAGGTACCTTGGATATCTATTAGTGTATATGAAGTCAAACTTTCACTTAAGTA